GGGTTATTTACTAATAGTTTATTATAATTTCGACAGAATTTAGACAGTCACTAAGAGATTTCGGCAAGCAACCTTAAGCTGGATATAATGAAAATCAGCTTAAATGTCAATTCCTCCATGGATTGTCATCCAAAAATCAGATAGAAACCAGAAGATGTGGATTGGACCTTCCATTAGATGAGTTAGTAGAAAGGCTGAGCACTTTGGAGAATATTGAGAAAATTCAAAGTGATGTAATCACATCGTAACTTTGAAATCACATGACGTTATAATGAGCCTCAGTGGAGCGATGTTGTGTGTTTTAAATTCGCGAATCAGAAATCATCATATTTACATAAAAATCTTTATTCAACCAGCGATCAACTGATATTTACATTTTAAAACTGCTAAATCTACATAATTATTTTCGCTATATAAGTATCGAATTATATCTCATCAGGTAGTGGATCCTCTGCTTTCAACCCACGTCTGGCATGTGATAAATCTGTAAAGAAGTAGCGATCATAATTAGCGATTTTAACAATGTATGTAATACAATGAAAAGATTAATACAAACGTACTAGCCCACGTTAAATAATTACTTATCAATATTCCCTCACCTCTTATTACAAGATCTTTCTGGTATCTCGGTTTGACTTTTTTTCGATTGGAAGAGTGTGATTCAGTTATTCAGATTTTGTTATTGTTGGTTTATTAAAAGATCGAGTAACAGTCGATAATTCATTAGCCAACAAGAGAGCTAGGATTAAAAAAATTACCAAGAAATAAATTTCATATCGATATGTATTTTTAATATCAATGCATATAGTGACTATTTTTTCGTAGTATAATATATAAATGTATTATAAAGTAATAGTCTGATCGAACATCTGTATCGCACATGAACGTCTCTTACGCAAACGAATTTTCATTTTCTTGACAAAAATAATTGGTGTTACAAATTGTAACACACGTGTAATTTTTTATTCTGAAAATCAAGACATATTTTTCATAGTTAAAATAAATGGAACACTATTTGTTTTTAAATTTAACATATAAATTTTTGGATTCATTGATTAAAAATTTTTGTTTTGGTTCAAAATAAGTTTCCCGGGTATAATTGATTTTGCAGTGATTTGACCTTTCGATATTTTCGGAATGTAGAAGTTTGGTAATCTTATTTTCGCTTGAATTCTGAAGTAAATGTTTTGCTTTTTTGATGACTTTCTCCTATTATCCATTGAGTCCTCATAAATATTTTATAATCGCTAAGCATAAGACTTCAAAAAAGATCAAATTTGCCTACCTTAAAACAATAAAAAACCTCTAATATTTGTCTTAAGACACTAATACTACAAATCTGTGCGGAAAATCTAAAAGCTGATCCATCAAATCCAAAATAAAGTCCTTCATCCAATAAATCAATTCCAATTAATTGACCTTCCAAAGCTAAAACATATATTATTAGAGATGTGAAAATGATAAATTCTAAGAAATATGCATAACGCGTGATATTTAATGATGCTGTGATTTTACCTGCCAACTGTAACCCGAAAATTGCTGTATCTTCTAAAGTTTCATCAAGAATATTGTTTTCAAGGTAGTTGTTTATTAGTTCTCAGAGATTTACTGCGGTCTTTTAAAATTTTTATAAATGTAACTTCCCGAGCACATTCAGAATGGCTCAACTCTTTGGTGCCATCCTCAGTTCTTATACAAAAATCAATCTTTCTTCTTGAATCATTAGTGACTTGTGAAACTGATTCTTTCCTGAAAAATTCGTAAAACAATTTGTTAGATCCACAATTGATAACTGTTTCCAAGTTAATAAAAATATTTACCATATCAATCTAACATGATCTCGTTGATCTGAAAATATTATGTCTAAAATAGGGCCTGATAAAATTGTTACATATTGAATTTCTATATGGTTTTGGAACCGACCATCTCTTTTGATGAAAATATAGGGATTTTCTAAAAATAAATCAATGTTAAAAAAATAAAGTTTCAAATTAATTTGGTGAATAGCAAATCAAAAAAAAGGATCACAAAATATATATACAGTATATAATAACATACATATTAAAATATATTTTAGAAACTTGTCTCATTTGACTATCAATGGGTCGTTCCATTACTTTTTCTAATACAAGTTTTCGTGCTCCCAAATAGTCATATGAATCACATAGCTAAATGTATAATGTAGTGAAAAGCATAAGAATTGTTATCACATTCGGTAATAATAATTTTGACAAATAATATAATTTATTTATATTTTCTACTTTTGTGATTAATTCTGATACTTCTCCTGTGAACCTTTCAACTTTCAAGTTGATTTTTGATAACACTTCATTCTTTAATGGTATCCAATTGTCTCCGAACCAGGAGTGCATGCCTCCTTTGAATTCCGACGAAAGATCTATGATGAATGACAGTCCCAACCTGTACATACGTTTATCAAGTAATTAATAAATTAAAGTATTATCAATAATAATAATATTATCATATTTTATCTTATAATACTCATTAGTTTCGAATCTACTTTTTCAGTTTTTTTTGCTTCTTCAATCGCTTCTTTTGTCATATTTATAAGCCAACCTCTTACGCTTTCATTATTTTTTAATTTCCAATTATAATTTTTGTTATCAGTTTTTGAACCAACAAAAGAATTAAATGACACATTTGCAAGTTCGGCTGTATCTTCTTCTTCAGAACTGCCATCTAAAGAATTTTCTTCATCATCATCCTCATAGATAGATGATATCTCAGAATTTAATTCACCCTATGAAAATTTTAGATTAAACATAATTTTTTAATCAGATCCATAATATATTTTTTTTATTGCTTACAACTATCTTTTTCTCCAGATGATCCAAATCTAACTCGTCAGCTGATGAAGTGTTTTCAGCATAATTTTTTCTCTCAATCTTTCTAAGATTATGCTTGATTGAAGGAACGATCTCTTTTTTGTCACTGTTGCCATCGTCCAAGGCCTAAATTATAAAAACAATAAATTTACTGCACATGATGAGATAAAAACATAATGGAAAAATAATTTTACGGGAGTTAGTAGTAGTTCATTGGTGCTTTGACAGATTTTTTTGGAAATCTTTTCATCCTAAAAATATTGAAATAAAAATAATTAGTTCTGTCAATTCCCAGACTACAATTAAAGAAAATGTATTTACTCATATGTTTCAAATCATTTTCATCTAATGTATCTACTTCCAAAAATCTCTTTCTTGTTCTCTCATTTCGACTTGCTGTCCACTCGACCTATTTAGAAGTTGTTCTGCTTTAAGTAAATCTATTTCAATACTTTCGCAAACACGTCCATTTCAACTAACCTGAGATAGAGAGTCTTTAGCCATAACTAATTTTTCGAGTTTTTTGGTGTTCTTAAGTTCCATTTGTGTAGTAACATGTTCCCACCATCAGAAACGTTACTCAGAATTTTAGTCTCAAAATAAAAAATAGGAAAAGAATTAATTTAGTTTAACATTATATAACAATTTAATTTACGATGTCACTATAACTTTACAGAATAGTTGTAAAGTGGTTGTATGCTCAGGACGGCTATCCAATATGGAGCTAACCATGCCTCTGTGACGTGTGGCTACAAGAGATGTCCTGAGCCTGAGCTTCCATTAAGGCCTGTTCAGTTACAACATTTACTGCATACTCAAGACGGCTATCCACTATGGAGCTAGCCATGTCTCTATAACGTGTGGCTATAGAGATGTCTTGCGCCTGAACTTCCGTTAAGGCCTGTTCAGTTGCAGTTCACTTCTTTTATCTGACATAAATAAACTTACCAAATTTTTTCGTTGATAATTTACAGACTTTAATGCAGTTTTGGCAAAAGATTTCAAGTGGTCCTGGTCATTGGTTGTCGCCTGTTCCAAAAAGCTCTTACACCGAGATCTAACAATTTCTAGATTTCTTAAATAGACCATGCCATTTTCCTTTTCGTTCTTGGATTGGTAAATTTGTGTGAACTAGTTTATACTCCTTTTCATTCAGCCATTTAAGGAAGTCAAGCTCTTTCCATTCGTTTGGCTTCCTTTCAATAAAGTATTCGGAAAAATCTGTAAATGTCGATGTGAACACAATCAGAATAACTGTAAATGATGTATGAATGATAAAGCTTTTAGACATACCGAAGGCTTCTTTTGAGAATAACTCTTCCGCAGAGTTCGTCATTTTAGTGGAGCGATTGATTTAATGAATGTGTAAAAAGTTAATCTCTAATTGATCGATTTTATCAGTCTGTTTTTCCATATTTGGGGATGCGTATTTTCACGTGATCGAGTGTAACGTAAACAATTAGTCTTGGCTCTTTAGCGTGTTCAAATTTTTTGCGTAAAAAATCAAATCACGTGAAAACTACCTTGCTTTAGCGTTCCCCCATCTATTTCCTGTATTCATATAGATGGTAACACAAAGATGATACACAAAACGCGCGTCTTTTTCAGGATCAAACTATTATACCATCCGAACTGAATAACAATCTATAAAAGTTGAGTTACTCTCATTTTAAATTTTTTTTCCAAACCTAGTAAAAATTTGCATAAACAATATCCTACGTTCGTTGGACCTTGTCCACTTTGGTGGAGCTCCTTCGTTCGATGTATGGAAAGAAGTCCTCAGAGCCCCCACTAAGAACCTAAGAATCTTAGTGCCAACAGCTTGACAGCTTCCTTCCAGTATATTGGGATCAGATGGGTTATCCTACGGCCGTTGGATCCTGTTCACTCCTTCGGTTCGATGTATGGAATGAAGTCCTCGGAGCCCCCACTAAGAACCTAAGAATCTTAGTGCCAACAGCTTGACAGCTCTTTCCAGATACTCATCTCGTCTATGCAAAACTGTTCTCATTATTGGTGCTAAAAATTGGTTGTTATTTTATAGGATGAGCATTTCGGAAGTAATTGCAAATTACTTTCATGAGGTTTCATATGGAAAATGGGACCTTTTTAGCTGTTTCGATTCCGTGTTAGAGGCGTGTAAGAATATTACGAGCGAGGATTGTGAAAAAATTAAAACAGAATTAAGTTTTCATCTCCGTTCAATCAGTACTCATAACTCGATGAGCAAGAAAGTCCATAATAAGGCAAATAGGCTTCTGGATGAGTTAGATCAATTTTTCCAGTCCAAAAGGGTTACGATGATTATTGATGAAAGAGATACGAAGGTAAATTAATTTTGCTTTGATATACATATATGTAAACTAACTGGCTTTTATAGGTCAATGAAAAGATGTTGAACACTAAAGCGAAACTGTACAATTCGGAGGTTAATGTTTATGTGGCTTGTGACAAGCTCGCTTCTTTACATTCAATGAGCTCTTCTACAGGGAAATCATCATCAGTTCTTCAGAAAATACAAGATGAAGATGATGAACTTGACGAGGAATGTGATAAGGCATCGACTTCAAAAATTGACAAAAATGTATCAGAAAGTACATATTTCATTAAATAAAAACCTGCAATTTTAACAAATCTTTATTAATTTATTGAAATTTAAATAGATAATAATAATAATAAAAAACGTATTATTAATGATATTGAAGAAGACAGTCAAGAACCTGCTAAGAAAGTAAGTTTCTTTAAATATAATTTCTTCTAAACGAGATTAAATTTTAAAACTGTTGACATTAATATTTACACTCTTTTTTTTTAGAAACTCCACATTAGTGATGATCAAGAACTTATTGCGAAAAATCTTTTAGGAGAATCTCAAGAAATCTCTCCAGAAATGCAAAGTCTTCTTCGCGATTTCCAAGAGTATAGCAAATACTCACGAAATTTATTAATAATCAATGAGATCATGGATCTTAGACCATCGTCAGAGTTTGTTCTTATGTATACTAAAGAAGAACATTATTCTGAACTTCTTAAAGATGTATTTGATCCAATCGATAAGCTTTTCCCTGAGAAAGCCTTTAATTTTCTTATGGCATTCTTTTCAAAGGTATTATCTGTTTTTATTGAAGTTTCTTGATTTCTTGCATTTCACTTATTGCCCTTTGTTGTTGATAGAATTTAACTAATGAGCAATGGCGAAATGAAATTGAAAATTTGCTTGATCATGAACCCGATCCATTCTTAAAAAATTTAAAGAGATTCATGTTTGAAATTCTTCCAATCTTGTAGGTATCTGCAATTGATATTCTTTTGGTCTAATCAAATTTTAACCTTTCTTCTTTACTTTAGTTTTGATTCATATATGCATCCAGATAATCCTTTAAAAAATAGAGACCTAGGCGAAGATGAGTATATGACAATATATATTCATCCAATGCTAAAAAAGGCTTTAGCGAGATTTTCTAACATTAATTATAGGCCGTAAGTGGTTTTCTTTTTTTTGTATGATAATGATATAATTGCTTATAGGGATTTATTTAATCTTTTAGTGGCAATAGGGCTATTGAAGCATCTTCTTACAGAAAATTGATTACAAGTCAAAGCGGAAATGCCGATAGAGCCGATGGCATTGCATACACCACAAATGCAAAGCCTTATGAAATTTGTGTGGTAGAAGGTAGCAAACCCTATGATACTGAAACTCGCAAAGAATCCGAAGATTTCGTTCAAAATACACGAGCTGGTAAAGACATGATCAATTTTCTTGTAACACAAGAAGTAAAACAGAAAAGGGCTTTACCAACACTATTTAAAGCCTTTATGGTTCAAAGTTTTGAATTGAGCCTTCGATTCTATTTTATGGATTATTTAAGTATGCATGTTAATATATACTGTTATGTTTAGTTAAGAAAGTTCTAATTATAATTTGTATTTCTAGATTATTACAGAATTTTCGAGATCGAAATTTGCGAGATACCTATAGATTTTACAGGAATAAATTTATTTCCTTTTCTTTTTCGCACAGTGGTTATATGGGCGGTAAGTCACAGATAGATTTATATTATACATATATAAATTTGAGGATTGGTTTTTAATAATTTATTAATTTATTCTAGATGTTGGTTGGAAATACTGATAAGGAATTTCAAGAATTTAGGAATTCTAAAAGAAGTTCAAGAATTAGTAATGCACACAATTTACGAGTTCTTACACAATTAGCGCATAATAAAGAACGACCAGGTGACAAGAAGAGTTTAAAAATGAAAAATGTTCTTTGAAGGAAAAATTATTTATGGTAGATTCCTATTTGATATTCCAATGATCCTTCTATTTTAGCCGATTTTATATACACTTTATTAATCCTCTGCAATTTATTAATAGTTAATATGTCTTTATTACGCAGTGCGCATGATGTATATCAAATAGAAATTTAGATAGTTTAACAATGTCATCACCATAAATAGTTTTTTTATTATATTTTTCATTTTTACCATATCAGTTAGCCGATATGTCACAGATGATCATGATTACATTTGCACTCATGAAAAAATTTTGATCAGCACATAGGAAAAATTCACGAAATACAAGATTATTTTGGATTAGTGGATTATATCAGTCATAACATTCTTATGGCTTCTTATGAATGATCATAAAAGTTTTATTTGTGGTTATAAATGTGAAAAATAATCTTGGATCCAAAGTTGGATGTTAAAGTAAAATTTTGACTTTCTTGATTGTTTGATTATCAAATTATGCACACACTTTTTTATATTCTTTACTGTACTTTTTCGCAGATGTTTGATAAAGTCTTTCAAACATGTCTATGGCTGTTTTTTAATTGTAAATGACTGTAAAAAATTAGTATTACAAATATGAATGTTGAGAACTAAATCATTTACCTTTTGTCTTTCTGAAATAATTTCTCAAATATTATGCATAATTTATTCAATTCATTAGGGATTTGTCTCTTGCTATTTTTTTAAAATTTCATTTCTATTAATGGTTGTGTTCAAAAGGAGAATTGGTAAATTTAATGTTTAATTCTAGGATCTGTGTTAATATTGACAAGTGGCTCAAGTATTAGCACTGATCAAATTATATTTTCTTAGGTGAGATATTTTTGGACAAATTCTATATTCACTGCGAGAACTGGCATCAAAAGCATGACATATTGTATATAATATTAGTTTGAGTGCTTTGAAGGAATAGGTAAGCTAATTGAATTATTGGATGTACAAAGCAATAACTTCTAATTTAATTTTAACAATACTTTTTTTTTAGATAAAACTCTTAATTAATTTAGTATTAATACAATTAATGATTGAAAGATGGATATAATTAAGAATATAGAACAAGAAAATTAAGCAATGTAAAGAAATAATATACTAATAGAAAAATATAAATGATTAGAAAAGGAGAGAACACTAAGATATATTTGAGTATATAATGTATATATTAATTAAAAAGAAATAAATATTTAATGTATTACTTTATAATTAATGTATTACTTTATAATTAATATATTACTTTATAATTAATATTTAAATTAATAAAAATAAATGTTTTTAGTAATAATGATTTTGTATGATTAATATAAGTAAGAGTTTGACTTTGATCAAGAGATATATAACTGAGTTACATTTTTCTCACTCTGTTTGCAGATAACTAAAAATCTTTTTACTTATTACAAGTAGAATTCTACATTTAAGAATTATTATAAATCTTTCAAAATTAATAAAAGAAAACTTACTTTACCTGTTCTGCTTTTATATATCATCAAACAAAATAAATACCAGTTTCCTGCAGACTTTACAAGATACCTTATCTCTTCACTACAATCAGAATAAATTACAAAAGTATTTATTAGATAAAGATAATGATTTTGTATTTGACTTTGAGCAAAATCTTTATAAACAAGTCTTAAATTTAGCAAAATGTGAAAAGAATTTATAAAAAGAACTTGATGCAAAGGATATAACAATCTGATAAAAAACAGATTATGAAGAAATTGATAGTAAATATACAGAAGTAGTTCTTATGAGTATAGTAAAATCAATTATATTATATATCATAATCGATAATGAACATGAAGAGATATACTGTTGCAATAGAATTAGTATGAAGAGAGTGCAAGAACTTATCAGTATCTAGAAAATTGACATGAATGCAATTAATAATGTTAATAAAGAACTTCATCTTCTTGAAATATATTCAAAATATTTTAATTATAATCAAAATATTATATATAGTAAAAATCTGAAAGGCCAATGCTCAAGTAATAAAAATCAAATCAATTATTGTATATATTTTTTTTGCAACAGAAAAAAGATCTTTTTTAATCATGGAACAAGTTATATAAAACACATACAAATTATATATAATTAAATATTACAAGTATCTTGCTATAAAATAATTCTCTATTCAAGTATTAATAATAATTTACATACAAAAAGTACACATAATTCATGTGATATTTGTTATATATACTGTTAGTATTATAAAAAAAATAGAAAATATTTGTATATACATTCAGATTCAGAAAAAAGAATAAATATATGATATATTATAAAGCATTTAGATGATATTATAATTGCTCTTTATCACTTTGCAAAGCTAATCAAGATAATGACACAATCAGAAAATGATAGAGTAAAAGAATGCTTATTTAAAGCTCTCTTCACATACTTGGAGAACTTCAATATGAATTCATTATCTATATAATCTAATGAGTTGTTCAGCTTATTATAATTTTCAAGGCTAAAGAATTTGATTTTTTTAGACAAGTGAAATAACTCAAATTAAAGTATTCATGATAATTATCAAATAAAAGCATTCTCTTTTGTTGCTTTAAAAAGTACAAATATTGTATATGCAACTAGTAACTTTCACAAAAAGTCTATATTTTCAAATGTGATAATAAGTATCAATGATAAAGGAGAAGATAAAGTAAATTGATATGGTTAGATAAGAGTATTTAGAATTTTAAGAGTACATAAATTACTAACACATATACTTAACTTATTAATATATATCAATATTATCAACATTAGATATTATTATTATTCAAACTTTATAGAAAAACTAAAGCTAAAAGTAAGCTGCTTAATTTCACTTTTGTTCAATGATATGATTTATCTAATGAAGATGAGAAACTATGAGATTGTTCAAAATTAAACAATTTAGCTATATACCAATAGAAAGCATTAATAAGATAATTCATATCATTTTCAGATTCAATTGCAAAAATAAATTTATTGTAAATAGTTATATTTTTTAAAGAATTTGTAATATAGTATATGTAAAAGGATGCAAATAGAATGCTTGATACAAATATTATCAATTATTATTAAGTCATAATTTTATTTCATGACACAAATATTATCAATTATTATTAAGTCATAATTTTATTTCATGACATAAATAAATATATATAATTAATATAAAAAATTGCTTAAAGATTATATTCTATATTTATCACTGAAAGATATTGATTTTAGTTCAAGTATAAAAATAATGAGTGATATTTTCATTTATTTTAGCAATATATTATTTATCTTACAGATATCACAAAAACTTTTATCTCAACATCTATCATCCATAAGCAGTAGAGTAATTGAACAAAGGTAACTTTAAACAAAATAAGAGATCTTATAAATCTGAAAATGAATAAAGTATTAATTGAACTGAATAAAAATATGACATATTAACTAGTTGTAGCTTGTAATGATAATTGTAACTTTTATCACTAAATGATATTGTATCATAAATTAAATTCTTGATTATATTTATAAACTAAAAAATGCATATAAGTATTTATAATTAGGAAATACGAGCAATAATATGATGAAATTGATATTTATATTGAATGTAAATATGATTATAATTATTTTGATGCAGTTGATAATTTTAAAATATTTGATAGTTTTTATGTATTTAATAATTTAAATGCATTAATAGTTTTAATATATTGATAGTTTTAATGTATTAATAATTTTAATACTGTTGTAATTAGATATTTTTATAATCACAAATGATCATTTCACATGATTGCTTTACATGATTACTTTAAATAATTACTCTAAATAATTATTCAAATGATTATTCCAACTGATTATCTCAAGTACTCTGAATAATTATTACAAATAATCATTGCAAATAATCATTTCAAATATTTTGAATGATCATTTTAAATGATTATTTTATAATTATCAAATACTTATAAATACAGCTTGTATCTTAGCTTAAAAAAAGATAAAAAAATCAATAATTAATTAATTAAGTTTAATATTCTTTTAATAATCCTTTAGATAATATTTTCATAATCTCTTGTCTTAATTGTGAAGTTATTCTTGTATTTGTTTTATAATTTCTTATTACTATTGTGAAGTTATATTATCTTATACATTTTTATATTTGATCTCTCATCTATATTACAAAGTCAATAATAATATTGAATTAATAAAAGAAAATTATATTTTACTTGTTTATAAATCAATTTTAAAAGAGCACTCAACTTATTATAAATTGAATTATAAAAGACACAATTATCTTTGAATCTTTTTGGTCTCATTCTAGCTGATCAACAAAATGAACATATATTATTTATCTTTAGATAACTTAGTAAACTCTCTCAACTTAAAATTATTTAATATATTAGCTCTTCTACCTGACTTTATTATATTGTTACCATTTTGATAGGTCTTTCGAAATACTCAAAGGTATTTATAAAATTT